TTTTTTTTTTTTTTTTTTTTTTATAAAAGGCGGGTTTTTTTCTTTTTTCTTTTAAAAAAAACAAAAAAAAAATAAATTCCATAAATAAGAGTATCAATTAACATTTTCTTGATTGTCTTAATTCAATACTATATTGAACTTTTCCAATTAAAGAATAACGAGATAACCACGCATAAGTCGCATAACACACCTAATAAAATTACTTGCTCCTAGTAATAAAATATCTTATTTGTTTTTTCTTTATTAAACTAAATTTTTTATCGATTTTAAAATTATTTCTCATTCCAATATCACAAATCACCATCATATAACAATTTAAAAAGAGTTTTCTAAACGATAAAATTAAAAAAAAAATATTTTTAAGTTTCTTTTATATAAATATATTAAAGTTTAGGATGCTTGTCTAAAGTATCCATTCGTGCAAATATATTGATTATAGTTCTCAAAAATAACTCTCTACTCATTTTCCCTCTTCTTAACCTAATTTATTTAATTAAAATCGCGAATAAAATAGCATATGTTAGTAGATTTAAATTAAAAAACATTTCTTCACCTCTATTGTATTTAAAAGGATTCTTTTTTTGTCTGTGATAAACCTCCTCTCATACTATCTAACTACTACATTGTTATCAACAATTAAATGCTGCGACTACTGTGCCAATGATTCAACATACTAGTACACAAAGTAACATGCAAATGAATGAATGTAAATTTTTTCATTATGCACCAAACGATGATAAGTTTTATCATATAACTAGCCAAATCATTTTACAAGGCTCCGTCTCTTCGGATGATCACAATTATGATCATGGGTTCTTTTATAATATTAACCCTACAACCAATTATTATGTCTCATGCAAAATACTTCCACATTCTTTGATCATTAATATATTGAACAAAAAAATATATGGAATAGATATTGCCATGAATAACTTGGAGCGAGAAGAATCATTATCTTTGAATCAAAAATTGGATTTGGAACAAGACTTGAAACAAGTTCTTCCTTTTCATCTTACGCATTATCAATTTCTTAATAGTAGAGAAATAAAAATGAATTCTGATCGAAACTTAAATCCTTCATACGGTGATAATACACAGACAATTTCATTAACTGATAGTCAAACTAATTTTGAAAATGGCTTTCCTCAACAAACTAGAGTTATTAATCCACAACAAGAAGTTTTCAACAATATTCCACAACAAATCCCTGAAGGATTACGTTGCAATGGAAATATAAATCCATTTCATGGAAATGTTGGGAATAATGTAATGGTAACGCAAGGAGCTTCAATCGCCAACAGCCAAAATAATGATTTTCTTCAACCCATCAACCCCCCTTCAACATCTGCAGCGCCACAAAATAGAATTGCATATGATGTGATTAATTCGCAACAACAAATTGGTTCCAATAATATTCCGCAACACATTGCTGATAGAGATATGAGATCGAATTATCATGGAAATATAAATCAAAACAATGGTAATGATAGTCAGAATGTAAATGGAGCTAGAAACTTTACTTACACACAGCAACAAATTGACATCAACAATTATTATGGAAATTCAGATTTACATAATGGTAATAGTGAGAACAATGTGATGACAACGCAAGCTAATGACTTGACATGCGATCACCAAAATGATATTCAACAAGTTGATCTCAATAATAACTATGGGTACACAGACTTGCAAAATGAAAATATTGGAAATAATATAAGGACAACGCAAGCTAACGGCTTGACACGCGATTACCAAGATATAAATGATATTCACCAATTTAAACATATCAACGATAATTATGAGGACACAGATCCGCATAATAGTAATATTGGGAATGATTTAACGACAACGCAAATTAATTCACCAAGTTACTCAACTACAGCAACAAGTTGATTCCAATCATATACAACCTCAGTAATGAACCTTGTTGATATTAATGCTTTACAGGGTTAAAATTGACTGGCTTGTAAAAAATAACTTAAGGGTTAACCTATGCAAAACAATTTATTTTTATGTTGGAATGAAAAAAAGGATAAGATAAATTTGAACATGTGTAAACATATGAAAAGATAAATTACTTAAGTTTTAAATCATTAAGAATTATCCAATTACTATGATCCAACTAAGGGCTTTTTTATTGTTTTTTTTTTAATTAAAATTAGGGAAATATGAATAATATATATTATAGTATGGAAAACATGAATTCTGCCAAATGTATTTTTGAATATTATAGTATGGAAAACATGAATTCTGCCAAATGTATTTTTGATTGAATATCTTTGTTTTAAATAAAAACTGTATTGATGAAACAGAAATGCATTTGATTATAATTATGTACTGTACCTATCCCATCACTTGTTTTGATATTATTTTATTTTATATTGTCTGTTATTTAATAAGTTATATTATAATAATTAAACATTTGAATACCGAAAATGCTCTTTTCCTTCACAGAAACGCTTCATATAAATGAATTGAAGAAGCAAAGAATAAGTTAAATTAATTTTCTATCAGGTATTCAACATTAATTTTATTAATTTTACAATTTTCAATTTTAAGTTAGTAATTATTTATTAAACTATTTATCATCCTTACACTAATGCTTACACTGATCCATAAATAATAACATGTTAAATGAACATGATTAAATGTTAATTGATGAGTATGATAAACATAACAGTAAAAGCGAACAGGCCATTGACAGAAGATTCAAAAACACAAAAGATGATAATCGAAAAAGACGCTATTTATGTGGTAAAAAGTTTTTCAAGTATTGGTGTAGGAAAAATGCAAGGTCAATTTATTCAATACCAAAAGGCAGAAGTAAAATATTCGTATGAGTGATTTTTGTATAAAGGTATTAAAAATAAGTTTTATTAATTAAGTGTATAATAGATAGAAATTCCAAATAAAAGTATTGTAGTTACAGCAAGACAGACACTATTCGGCAGAAGTTATAGAGTAATCTAAACCTAAACTCAATTATAAGCATTTGGCAATTGTTAAGAGGAACGTGAAAATGCGCAGGACAAAAAAATTTTTAGTGAATTAAATAGTTTTTTGAGTAGAGGGTAGAGATGGAATCGGTTCAAAATGAGTCGACTCGAGTAGATTCTGGAACCGATCTTAAATTTAAAGGATTCTGGATCTCTTGGGCTTAACTTGAACTTCAAGAACCGACTCAAATTGAGTCATCTGACGATCACACACCAACTAATCTACCCCAGTATCGCCAGAAAATTTTTTCACCCCCACGTGACTTTGGCCGGCATTATGAGATTTGGCTGGAATTAAGAAATTAACCATGTGACGAATAACGTGTGACAAATAGGATTTTAGACACCGAAAAAAATCAAGTTCCCAGAATACTTATAAAAAATGAGAAAGTGGAGTGATGTGACGCGGGTGACAAGTTATTTAGGGTCACGTGGGGTGAAAAAATTTTCTGGTGAAGATACACCAACTATCATTTGAAGAAATTCTGATTGATCATCATCACATGCTCTACTTGTGTCTTAAATTTGATGCACGTAGCTGTCGTAGCTCATATTTTATTTCTTAGAGCCGATGTGGAACCGAATTAGAACCGACGAACCGATTTCCATCCCTAGTAGAGGGTGAGGAAAGCTTCTAAATAGACTTATAATTAATTTTGTAATCCAATACCACGGTGTTGTAGAGAGTGCATATAGTGACGCATTGAAAATATATTGTCACGTGATTGATGATCCTGCCATATACGAGAACAATCGGTCGGAAGCGAAGTAAAATCGAGTGATATAAATATTTTTTCATGTGAACTGGCCTAATTTAAGTAAGTTAATAAATAATAATCTCATAACAAATTAAAGGATAATACTTGGCGTAATGGCCATTGAAGAAAATAAAATGGGTGAGTGAGTGATCATTGATATTGTCTCTTCACGAAAAAAATGACGAAATATTTATATTTGGTATATTAAATGGGAAATGATTTTTTTATGAGCCATAACAATATTTATATTTATTACGATAAAATAATTAAAAATTCGGTTAAAAATTTACCCCTTTATTATCATTTGAGGAATCTATTAGGAAATATCATATAAACCATATTTATCGCTTATTAAAAAAAATTTTTTATCATATGAAAGCGCACATACTAGTTATTGACAATCCCACATTATAATCATTGGCGTATGCTGTGTATCCAAAGAACAGTCTCATATGATAAGAGTCAAACATGGTAATAATATTAAGAATCAATGTTGAATTGTTAAATAATACAAAATATGCGGCTGATAAAGAAATGTCCAATCTTCCTTTTGCTCTTGTACATGCGGTCCCGTTTTCGTGAAATTAGTGTTCAAAATATGGAGATTAACATGTAGTACATATCGAATTTATCTAAATTAAATGGAATTTCGCGTATTTGTTTATTTTGATACTTCATTAAAGGGTAAATATGTTTCATCTTTTGAGATATATTATAGACCCTCTTATTATGTAATACCATTCGTTTATATTTACGCCAATATCATTTAATTTGGGGGCAACAAACCCAATAGAAAGTGAAAATTCCCTCGAATATGCTGCTTAATTACTCAGGATGCACTTAGTGTTATTTTTTTTTAATATTCTTATTATCACTTTTATGCTTTACGTCTCTAGTAACTTTAATTTTTTTAAGGTTCAGATAGGTAATTCTAAGTATAATTTTTGACAAAAAATATATTTTAGCAGTCTAATGTGTTTGCTGCTTCCAGGATTGTAAAATGTTTGTCATTAGATTTTTATTTGAATACAGTCATTTTAGCTTGATAAATAATAATTGTACGATCGTATCATAGGGCTTTTCAGTTGCATATTTATTTATGTTTATGTCCAAAATAGGGCTAGTTACATATGTTGATCATTATTCGTAAATTTTTTGGAGTAATACGAATGTGGCGTATAGTCATGTGAAATGATATTCAGAATTGTATATTTTGTAAACCTACTACTGCGTATATTAGTATGTTGCATCAGCAAAATTGTCACGTGATCGAAGAATTTTCTTTTTTTTTTTTCTTTTTTTTTTGGGTGTCTTTCTCTTTATTAAGGATAGATATCCAATAATCGAAACCATACGTGCAACATGATATGACTCTATAACAAAAATTAATCTATCCTAATACAACAAAAAAACAAAAAACAACAAATAAAAAAAACTGGATAAACAAATCCTTCACTCAGCCCCACTATAAACTAAACACTATCTTTCTATTTAACAAATAAAACACGAAAACTAACGATTACAGGAAACACTGACTAATACTAGACAATGCACAATGGCTAAATTTAGCCTAACGGAGCCCGACCTTTTCCCCACGTCAATTTTTCTGGGTGCTGTTTGGGTAGTTTATTGAACTTGTTAATAGACTTATCATAACAGTTCTTTTTGCGCGTGCTATAGAACTATAACAATGGTAGACTGCTATCTGGGTTGCTACTAATCACTATAAGAAATATGTATACGGAAAGGATACGTTTTGTATACATTTTTTGTACGTTTCTATAGATTCCGTATACAAATTCCGTATATTTAATAAGCAATTCATTTTTGAACATTTTTTAAAAAAGCTAATGTATAAGAAATGTATACGGAAAAAATTAATCATGCGGAATGTATACGGAATTTTTAAACTTAATATTTTTAGAAGATAATTTTACAAAAATCCCGTATCATAACACGAGATCACATGATTGTTTATTGTTTTGTTATGATACGTTTTTTGTTTTTTATATAAACCCTTACTTTGATGAGTTTGATCTTCCGATCTTCCTTTCTGTCTTT